TCAGGTTTCTTACCTGATTCTTAGGATAACAGCATTACTTTGAAGATTATGATGAAGATATGCTGTCCAAATATGTGCACACTTTTGAATAAAATGCCTGGTACAAATTGGTCAACAAATAATAACTGAATAATTATATGAATATTTACTGAATGACATGGATCCTATGAATAATTATGGAATAATTATTGTAATTGCTTTTACTAGCCGTTCTCAAAACTCATCTATGTGTGACCTCAAGTAAGCCACATAACTTTGTGAACCTGCAGGTTCATCATTTTTAAAATGAAGAAACCTGACAGCTTTTCATTCTGCCACAGGTCAGGCCTCCCAGATACCAGAACATACATTTAGTTAAAGCCTTTGATATATTTCAAAGCAGTATCCTTACAGTGTAGTTGGAGGATGGTGGGGGCTGCAGAGAGGCACGCTTTCCAGTGGGATTGATCCAGTCCTCCTTCCTTCATTGCCACATGAATGCTGGGCAGCCCAGGGTCACACCCATTGCACCCTCAACTCAGGCAAGCCCAGCAGCCAAACATAGGAGACCTGGGCTACAGAACAGTCTCCCAAGTCTCAGGCTCACAAAACCTAGGTGGCAATGAAAGCTGAGAAAGTGAGGAGGTGGTTCAGGTGATCACTCTTCCCTACTCGTTCCTCTCATCTCAAATTGGCCTTCTATTGCACAGCAACACGGAGGACTACCAACCACACCTTGATCTTGCTGTGTTTGGTTAGTGGGATGCAACCACACATCAATGGTGTTAGACCAACTCAGAAAAATATCTATCAAACAGTATTCCATAAGGGCCACTCATGGCCCTGTTATTTTCAACATATAGAAAAAACAAAATGAAAACAACAAAATCATATCAGGTTTACAAGACTTCCCAAGAAAGATGGTCACACTTGTTTTCAGGAGATCTCTATAGAAATGATATTGATGACTTGATACCTTGAAAAGAGCTCTTCTGGGACTAGAATGATACCCATAAGTGACAAGAATGAGATGTAGTGTGCAGTCACATTAAAAAACAAATCACTCCACATAGAGGAAGCTTTGGACGTAGGGACATCTCACTGGTCTTAAGTGTAATGAAAAGACTCTTCTGCCACAAACATCAGTGTAGTGGTATCTGCCAGTAAGAAAAACTAAATCAGCATAACCATGGGATGCAGCAAGAAGAATATTGAGCCAGGAAAGAAAACATTTTTAAGAAATGAATTACTCATTGACTTTCTAGTGGATACAGAAAAAATTGCAGAAGACTCAGAGGATATCATGACAGTGTAATAGATTGATATCTTAAACTTGTGGAAAAGCCTTAAATTCTGTTTTAACATTTGAGAAGGAGAGGTGACTGACTTCATGACTAGCATTAAGAAGGTATCATGTGTTGGGAAACTGTTTCTGCCTTGATGGTTTTACACACATAAGAGATGAAAAATGAGGCACATGCTTAGATGTATTGGAAATGAGATGGGACTGTGGCATTGTCACAACGATACACAGATACTGAGAGTGACTTATAGAGTAATGGTCCCCATCTGTTGTGACCTCAGGTGAGACCAGGAGGCCTGTGTTTTAGCAAACCCTGGGCAATGGAATGAAGGGCTCCTAAGATTCCATGACACGCCCAGCTTCTAATTCTGTTATTGCAACAGCAGACCGTTACCTGGGACACTGCCCACTATCTCCCACACTCTTGTGAGAGTCTGAGCTGCAGACAGCGCCTTCAGTTCTCAGCTCAAGCATTGCGAACCTTGTTTTTGTGGTTAAGGACCCTAAAGTGCTGTGAGGAGGGATCAAGTTTTTCTCAACAGTAAGTTAACAATTTGAGTTAACTGACATCCCTAGTCCTGATTAAAACTATTTGGTTTCCAGTTTTTAACCCATCATGTGTTTGGGTTTCTTCTCCCCAGTACCTGGCTCTCCCTGTGGTGCCCCAAATGTCAGCATGGTGGCATCTGGCAGGACGTGTTCCAGGAAGGCCACAGAGATGAACTTTCCAGATACCATCGAGAATTCCTACTCCCAGCAGGAAGAGACCAAACGGAATATCAGAGCCAGCAAAAATAGACTTCTTATGAGCCAGATGGCCTACTTCCTGAACTACCAGCTAAAGACATACAGTAAGTTATATAGGTTGACCACCATGAAAGTGATGAATGATGTCCTGTCTTGTCTCGAGAAACTAACCATTCTCTTCATCAAAATTAGTTTCATCCTTCCCATACTTGTAGAAAACAGCAATGGGTATTTTAACCTTTAGTTAAAGATGGAAGACTGGCGAAAGTATTTAGCAACTTTTCCACGTCTTCAGTAAGGTGGGTGTGGGACTGGGGTTACAATCCTAGCTATTGATTTCTGACACAGGCACAGAACCACCTGTTTTTCTCAGCAAAAGGCTAAATCATGTTTACAGGAATCCTCTCTGTACCACCTAAGATTCTGCAGACAAGTAGCATCTAGACTGTTGGTCTAAATGCCTGACACTACTGAACTTCCATTTGGTTCTGGTTTCTGCTAAGGCCCAGTAGGCAAATCTGAGTTCTGGGGACACTGGGGGAAACACAGTGATAGCACACAGTACCCACTGTGAGGAGCTTGAAGGGAACCCTGCTCCTAATAGAACCTGTGGTATCTGTAAGTGGCACCATCAAGAGCAAGGAGTACCCTGGTACTGGTGACTCAACTCCCCAATTAGCTGGCATCCCCCGTGGGCACCACCACACCTGGATAATTTTTGTATATTTAGTAGAGGCGGGGTTTCACCATGTTGGCCAGGCTGGTCTTGAACTCCTGAAGTCAAGTGATCTCCTGCTTAAGCCTCCTAAAGTGCTGGGATTCCTGGCATGAGCCACCATGCCTGATCCACAGATTCTTTTTTCAGTAAAGGTTGTTAGAATTCATCCCTGGGTCCAGGCTCCTATATAAATTTCTCTAACAATTGATTGGCAATGATATATGATTAGATAAATCAGTATTGCAGCAACGCTTCTGGAAAGTAGGGCAATTTTTAAGGATTTTGGGGAAAAGGTTTAATTTTTTGCACTGACTTAGGTCAGAGGATGTGATTAAGATCTACTGAATGAGGGAGATTTTGTCCCATGGTTCTGAAAAGCAGGCTCATATACTTCTAGGGCGACTTAATCTAGGGACCGTTAGAAAATTCCTGTCAGAATGCCACATTCTTACACTGAGAATATTTTAAGTTCTTGTGCTATGATCGAACACTGATTTGGTCTTGTGTGAAGTGTGATTTGCTTAATGTGACCTGCTCTTCTGAATTTGTTTATAGAAGATTGAAAAGATCACGATGAAGAACAGAAATGCAGAGACAGCAAAAATAAACTTCTTATGAGTCAAGTGGCCTACTACCTGGGCTGCCGGCTGAAGACGGAAGGTAGTTTCTATAGGTTCACTGTCACGAAAGTGCTGAACAATGTCCTGTCTTTTTTCTGATAAGTGGTACACCCTCTTCTTCAAAGTTAATTTCATCATTCCCATACTTCTAGGAATATAGCAGTGGGTATTTTAGCATTTAGTTAAAGATGGAAGACAGAGGCTAATGTATTTAGCAACTTTTGCACGTCTGCAGTAAGGCGGGTGTGGGACTAGTGTTAATATCCCAGCAAATGATCCTGACACAAGCACAGAACCACCTGTATTTCTCAGCAAGAGGCTAAATCATGTTTACAGGAATCCTCTCTGTACCGTATAAGATCCTGCAGAACTTATAAGCAAGATAAAGGTAGAAGTGTTTATTTCCACGTTTCAAGGTGACTGAGTAGTTAAGACAAGTTGACTTTAAGGACATCAAGAGAGGAAGTAAGAAGAGTAAAAGCGAAGAAAAAACATCTTCAAATCATAGGAAAGGCTGTCAGTGATATCTCTCAGTCCCGATTAAACCAATTTGATGTCACCATTTTCTAACCCATCATGTGTTTGGGTTTCTTCTCCCCAGTCCCTGGTTATCTGTGTTCTGCCCCAAACGTCAGCATGGTGGCATCTGGCAGGCCTCCTTCCAGAAAAAACACGGAGGTGAACGTTCCAGAAGGCATTGAGAAATACTGCTCCCAGCAGGAAGAAAGCAAACCAAATTACAGAGTCAGCAAACATAGACTTCTTATGAGTCAGGTGGCCTACTTCCTGAACTACCAGCTGAAGACATACAGTAAGTTCTATAGGTTGACCACCACAAAAGTGATGAATGATGTCCTGTGTTGTCTTGAGAAACTAACAGATTTCTTCATCAAAATTAATTTCATCCTTCCCATACCTGCAGAAAATGGCAATGGGTATATTAACATTTTGTTAAAGATGGAAGACAGAGGTCAAATATTTAGCAACTTTTCCAAGTCTGCAGTAAGGTGGGGGGGACTAGTGTTAATATCCCTGCTACTGATTCCTGACACAGGCACAGAACCACCTGTTCTTCTCAGCAAAAGGCTAAATCATATTTACAGAAATCCTCTATACCATATAAGATCCTGCAAAATGTATAAGCAAGATAAAGGTAGAAGTGTTTATTTCCGAGTTTCAGGGTGACTGAGTAGATAAGACAAGTTGACTTTAAGGAGATCGAGATTGTAGATGAGAAGAGTAAAAGTGGGTAAATGACATCTTCAAATCAATGAGCAAGGCTGTCAGTGACATCCCTCAGTCCCGATTAAACCAATTTGACGTCACCAGTTTCTTTTTTTTTTTTTTTTTCCCATTTATTTATTTTATTGCATTTTAGGTTTTGGGGTACATGTGAAGAACATGCAAAATTGTTGCATAGGAACACACGTGGCAGTGTGATTTGCTGCCTTCCTCCCCATCACCTACATCTGGCACTTCTCCCCCTGCTATCCCTCCCCAGCTTCCCACCCCTCACCGTCCCTCCCCTATTTCCCCAGAACTGACCCAAGTGTGTAGTGCTCCCCTCCCTGTGTCCATGTGCTCTCATCGTTCAACACCCGCCTATGAGTGAGAACATGCGGTGTTTGATTTCTGCTCCTCTGTCAGTTTGCTGAGAATGATGGTTTCCAGGTTCATCCATGTCCCTACAAAGGACCCAAACTCATCGTTTTTGATGGCTGCATAATATTCCATGGTGTATATGTGCCACATTTTCCCTATCCAGTCTATCGTCGATGGGCATTTGGGTTGGATCCAGGTCCTTGCTATTGTAAACAGTGCTGCAATGAACATTCGTGTGCACGTGTCCTTATAGTAGAACGATTTGTAATCCTTTGGATATATACCCAGTAATGGGATTGCTGGGTCAAATGGAATTTCTATTTCTATGTCCTTGAGGAATTGCCACACTGTCTTCCACAATGGTTGAACTAATTTACACTCCCACCAACAGTGCAAAAGTGTTCCTGTTTCTCCACATCCTCTCCAGCATTTGCTGTCTCCAGATTTTTTAATGTTTGCCATTCTTACCGGCGTGAGATGGTATCTCAATGTAGTTTTGATTTGCATTTCTCTGATGACCAGTGATGATGAGCATTTTTTCATATGTTTGTTGGCCTCATGTATGTCTTCTTTTGTAAAGTGTCTGTTCATATCCTTTGCCCACTTTTGAATGGGCTTGTTAGTTTTTTTCTTGTAAATCTGCTTTAGTTCTTTGTAAATTTTGGATATCAGCCCTTTGTCAGATGGGTAAACTGCAAAAATTTTTTCCCAATCTGTTGGTTGCCGATTCACTCTAATGATTGTTTCTTTTGCTGTGCAGAAGCTGTGGAGTTTGATTAGGTCCCATTTGTCTATTTTGGCTTTTGTTGTCAATGCTTTTGGTGTTTTGGTCATGAAGTCCTTGCCTACACCTATGTCCTGAATGGTTTTGCCTAGATTTTCTTCTAGGGTTTTTATGGTGTTAGGTCTTATGTTTAAGTCTTTAATCCATCTGGAGTTAATTTTCGTGTAAGGTGTCAGGAAGGGGTCCAGTTTCTGCTTTCTGCACATGGCTAGCCAGCTTTCCCAACACCATTTATTGAACAGGGAATCCTTTCCCCATTGCTTGTTTTTGTCTGGTTTGTCAAAGATCAGATGGTTGTACATATATTGTGTTGCCTCCGAGACCTCTGTTCTGTTCCATTGGTCTATATCTCTGTTTTGGTACCAGTACCATGCTGTTTTGATTACTGTAGCCTTGTAGTATAGTTTGAAGTCTGGTAGTGTGATGCCCCCCGCTTTGTTCTTTTTGCTTAGAATTGACTTGGCTATGCGGGCTCTCTTTTGGTTCCATATGAAGTTTAAGGTGGTTTTTTCCAGTTCTGCAAAGAAGGTCATTGGTAGCTTGATGGGGATAGCATTGAATCTGTAAATTACTTTGGGCAGTATGGCCATTTTCACGACATTGATTCTTCCTAACCATGAACATGGAATGTTTCTCCATCTGTTTGTGTCCTCTCTTATTTCGTTGAGCAGTGGCTTGTAGTTCTCCTTGAAGAGGTCCTTTACATTCCTTGTTAGTTGTATTCCTAGGTATTTTATTCTCTTTGTGGCAATTGTGAATGGAAGTTTGTTCTTGATTTGGCTCTCTTTAAGTCTGTTACTGGTGTATAGGAATGCATGTGATTTTTGCACATTGATTTTGTATCCTGAGACTTTGCTGAACTTGCTTATCAGTTTCAGGAGGTTTGGGGCTGAGACGATGGGGTCTTGTAGATATACAATCATGTCGTCTGCAAATAGAGACAATTTGACTTCCTCCTTTCCTATTTGAATGCCCTTTATTTCTTTTTCTTGCCTGATTGCTCTGGCTAGAACTTCTAATACTATATTGAATAGCAGTGGTGAGAGCGGGCATCCTTGTCTGGTGCCACATTTCAAGGGGAATGCTTCTAGTTTTTGCCCATTCAGTATGACATTGGCTGTTGGTTTGTCATAAATAGCTTTTATTATTTTGAGATACGTTCCATTGATACCTAGCTTATTGAGTGTTTTTAGCATAAAGGGCTGTTGAATTTTGTCAAAGGCCTTATCTGCATCAATGGAGATAATAATTTGGTTTTTGTCTTTGGTTCTGTTTATGTGGTGAATTACGTTTATAGACTTGCGTATGTTGAACCAGCCTTGCATCCCCGGGATGAAGCCTACTTGATCATGGTGGATAAGCTTTTTCATGTGCTGTTGCAATCGGCTTGTCAGTATTTTATTGAAGATTTTTGCATCTATGTTCATCATGGATATTGGCCTGTAGTTTTCTTTTCTTGTTGAGTCTCTGCCAGGTTTTGGAATCAGGATAATGTTGGTGTCGTAAAATGATTTGGGAAGAATTCCCTCTTTTTGTATTGTTTGGAATAGTTTCAGAGACGTCACCAGTTTCTAATCCATTATATGTTTGGGCTTCTTCTCCCCAGTCCCTGGCTTTTTGTGTTCTGCCCCAAATGTCAGCATAGTGGCATCTGACAGGCCTTCTTCCAGAACAAACGCAGAGGTGAACATTCCAGAAGGCATTCAGAAATCCTGCTCCCAGCAGGAAGAAAACAAACCGACTCTCGGAGCCAGCAGAAATAGACTTCTTATGAGCCAAGGGGCCTACTTCCTGAACTACCGGCTGAAGACATACAGTAAGTTCTATAGGTTGACCACCATGAAATTGATGAATAATGTCCTGTCTTGTTTTGAGAAACTAACCTCTTTCTTCATCAAAATTAATTTCATCCTTCCCATACTTGTAGAAAATAGAAATGGTTATTTTAACATTTTGTTAAAGATGGAAGACAGAGGCAAAAGTATCTAGCAACTTTTCCATGTCTTTAGTAATGTGGGTGTGGGACTGGGGTTACAATCCCTGCTATTGATTTTTGACACAGGCACAGAACCACCTGTTTTTCTCACCAAAAGGCTAAATCATGTTTACAGGAATCCTCTCTGTACCGTATAAGATCCCACAGACAAGTAGCATCTAGTCTGTTGGTCGAAATGTCTGAGGCTACTGAACTTCCATTTGGTTCCGGTTTCTGCTGAGGCCCAGTAGGCAAAGCAGTGTTCTGCAGACACTGGCGGAAACACAGTGATAGCACACAGTACCTCCTGTGAGGATCTCAAGGAGGACCCTGCTCCTAATAGAACCTGTGGTATCTGTAAATGGCACCATCAAGAGCAAGGAGTACCCTGCTACTGGTGCCTCAGCTCCCCCTTTAGCTGGGATCCCTGGTGGGCACCAAAGCCCCTGGCTAATCTTTGTATTTATAGTAAAGGCAGGGTTTCACCATGTTGCACAGGCTGGTCTTGAACTCTTGAGGTCAAGTGATCTGCCCTTCTGGGCCTCCTAAAATGCTGGAATTCCAGGCATGAGACACCAGGCTGGCTCCACAGATTCTTTTTTCAGTAAAGGTTGTTAGAATTCATCCCTTGGTCCAGTCTCCTATGTAAATTCTCTAACCATTCATTGACCATGATATATGATGAGATAAATTGGTATTGCAGCAATTGTTCTGGTAAGTAGTTAGTGCAATTTTTGAAGATTTTTGGGAAAAAGTTTTAATTATTTGCCCTGACTTAGGTCAGAGGATATGTGATGAAGATCTACCAGATGACGGAGATTTTGTCCCATGGATCTGAAAAGTAGGCTCATCTACTTCTGAGGCAACTTAATCTAGGGCCTGTTAGAACACTCCCATTAGAATATCACATTCTTACACTGAGAATATTTTACGTCCTTGTGCTATGACTGCATACTGATTTGGTGTTGTGTGAAGTATGATTTGCTTAATGTGACCTGCTCTTCTGAATTTGTTTACAGAAGATCGAAAAGATCACAATGAAGAACAGAAATGCAGAGACAGCAAAAATAAACTTCTTATGAGTGAAGTGGCCTACTACCGGGGCTGCCGGCTGAAGACGGAAGGTAAGTTCTGTAGGTTCACTGTCATGAAAGTGCTGAACAATGTCCTGTCTTGTCTATGAGAAATGATACACTCTTTTCTTCAAAGTTAATTTCATCCTTCCCATACTTCTAGGAAAATAACAGTGGGTATTTTAACATTTAGTTAAAGATGGAAGACAGAGGCCAAAGTATTTAGCAGCTTTTCCATATCTACAGTAAGGTGGGTGTGGGACTAGAGTTAATATCCCAGCTATTGATTCCTGACACAGGCACAGAACCACCTGTTCTTCTCAGCAAGAGGCTAAATCATGTTTACAGGAATCCTCTCTGTACCATATAAGATCCTGAAGAACTCATAAACAAGATAATGATAGGAGGGTTTATGTCCTGGCTTCAACGTGACTGAGTAGCTAAGACAAGTTGACTTTAAAGAGATCAGGAGTGGAGATGAGAAGAGTAAAAGCGGGGAAACGACATCTTCAAATCAATAGGCAAGGCTGTCAGTGACATCCCTCAGTCCCGATTAAACCAATTTGATGTCACCAGTTTCTAATCCATCGTGTGTTTGGGTTTCTTCTCTCCAGTCCCTGGCTTTCTGTGTTCTACCCCAAACATCAGCAAGGTGGCATCTTACAGGACTCTTTCCAGAAAAAACACAGAGTTGAACGTTCCAGAAGGCATTGAGAAATCCTGCTCCGAACAGGAAAATAACAAACCGAATATTGCAGTCAGTAAAAATAGACTTCTTATGAGTCCAGTGGACTACTCCCTGAACTATCGGCTGAAGACATACAGTAAGTCCTATAGGTTGACCACCATGAAAGTGATGAATGATGTCCTGTCTTGTCTTGAGAAACTAACTGCTCTCTTCATCAAAATTAATTTCATCCTTCCCATACTTGTAGAAAATAGCAGTGGGTATTTTAACATTTAGTTAAAATGGAAGACAGATGCCAAAATATTTAGCAACATTTCCACATCTGCAGTAAGGTGGGTGTGGGGCTGGGATTGCAATCCCAGCTGTTGATTCCTGACCCAGGCACAGAACCACCTGTTTTTGTCAGCAAGAGGCTGAATCCATGTTTACAGGAACCCTCTCTGTACCATATAAGATCCTATAGACAAGCAGCATCTAGTCTGCTGGTCTAAAGGTCTGAGGCTACTGGACTTCCATGCAGTTCTGGTTTCTGCTAAAGACCCAGTAGGCAAAGCTGTGTTCTGGGGACCCTGGGGGAAACACAGTGATAGCAGACATTACCCGCTTTGAGGAGCTTAAAGGGGACCCTGCTGCTAATGGAACCTGTGGTATCTGTAAGTGGCACCATCAAGAGCTGGGAGTACTCTGGTACTGGTGCCTCAGCCTGCCAATTAGCTGGGATCCCCGGTGGGCACCACCACACCTGGCTAATTTTTGTACTT